TCCATTTTATATGGTAGTGTACTATACTTTTTATAATTAATGTACTAATTATTTCAATTCTATAAACAGAATAACAATTGCAAAAACCCTTTTTCTCCACCTTGCCCCCCTACCCTCCTCCTGACCTTAAAAACAGCTTGATCAAATGTAGGCAAGATCGGACATTTCCGGTTGTGCAGCAAGAAAACTAAAACAGAAAACTGAAGAGTCAGGTAGCTGCAAGAAGGGGAGAGGATAGTGACCTTGCTCACTCTCACCCCCCCCCTTCCCCTCATGCCAAAAATTCAATGTAGTTCCGAGAATACAGTGTTCGAAAAAAATAAGTCTTTCTTGTAAATTGGCACTTTACAAGGACATCAAAAAAAATTAATTTCTTTTTACTTTCAAAATTAGCCGAAGTATGATTGAAGGATAGACGATCAAGAAAAATGAGGAACAAGAAATATAGAAATCTCAAAATATTTCCATCTGATATCATATAAATATTTAAAAATATTCTAAAATTTAATTAAAATAAATTACTAAAGTTAATAATATAATTAATTCTAAAATCTGTTCTAAAATCTAAAAAGATCTGATAAAAGATAAATGTTATCTTTCTGAATTCTAGTTTCCCTGATATTCTCTGTAATCAATCTTTTCCAGTCTTTATCTTTAACTTTTCTTTTATTCTTTCTTTTCATGTTCTCCATCATTTTAGAACCCGCCCCCTTCAAGATTCAGCAGGATATATGGGATATATTGGATATACCACCCTTTTATATATTTTTCATATATATTTATCTATCATGCTTTGTAATTTATCTATAAAATATAAACTTGGTATCCAGGTTTCTGACATGTTTCTTTGATTGCTACCGTTTTTTTCAAATACATCATAAAAATTACAATGTATATAAAAAATCCTAACATTTTGTAATTAATACCGAACTCACCGAAAGTATCTCGAAAGCGCGAATGTTTTCTTCAAAATAACAAAAAGAATGTGATATACAGAGCAAAGGGGCACATAGATCCTGGATGGTTGCTATGAAAAATTGCCTACATTTTCAAGACTGGGTCGAATTTGGTTTGATTTATTTGTTTTTATTTTGTGTGGCTCTGGCATGTTAATTTTAGCAATGTAAGGACCTGCTTTTATCTTCAAAATTTAAGAAGTATTTTGCAATATTCTCGGCTAATTTTGCAACCTTTAGATCCTTTGGAAAAGGGAAGGGGATAAAGAGAGCAGAGGGGATTTAATAAAGTGATATAGGGAAGGGGAGGGAAGGGGAGGGAAAGGGAGTAAATCAAACAAAAGTAGATTAAACATCTGATTCAAATCATAAATGTTTTTAATCCTAGCTCATCTTCTTTATGAGCTCTTGCAAGAAATGTTTTTTATTTTTAGTAGAGTGAGAATCAGAAAACTCTGGAATAAGAAGACGACTCTTAAACGCAAATTATGACTTTAAATAGTCCAATGAACATAAGACACATCAATTGTGCAGTTTTACCAGATCCAATTCACCAGAAAAGTGAGTTAATTAGTCTCTAGTAAAAATATGCTTTGTAACTACATGTAATGCACTTGAGCTTCGCTGTAAAGTCGTCTTCTCATTCCAAAGTTTTCTGGTTCTCACTGTGTGTAACCAGACAAGTGTGCTTTTCTTATACTTGTATATAAAATCAAAACTAGAGGAGCTACGAGGTCAAAAAGTCATATCAGTGATGTCGCATAAATTTAATTTACAGTGTAAAATAAACGTCATTTTTATCCCTTTTGTGTAGAGTATCCATAATATTGAAAAATTGATCTTGATATCTATGAACACTTAAAAACAAGGAAAAAAGCTTGATTTCTCAATTTAAGTTATCCCTGGCCACCACGGTATATCCTTGCAATGTATGGCCACCACGGTATATCCTTGCAATGAGAGACAACATAGGTTTAATTGTAAGAAATCACAATATGCAGGTATGACGGAGTTATATATATATCTACGTACATGGAATGGGTTAATCGCAATACATGATTTACATATTTACTGATGGGAACATTTAGATATATAATGACAATATACAACGTAATTTACTATGGGCCTCTATATTTGCCACACCTTCTCTACTCCTCTCCTTCAAGCCTTCTCTTCTTCCTTGCTACCACACAAACTGACATTACCAATACCTATGCTTCTCTGTCTAAATATTAAAAGTCTGGTTCGAATTTGTTCTTTATGTTGTTCTATTCTTCGATATTCATTTATTCTGCAGAAACCAATATTTGGTCAAATTTATGCAGTATAACCACACCATTCTTTCTATATTCAGTTCAATGAATCATATTTTGACCAGCTCATGAGACCACCTTCACTTCACATTCTTCATCTCACACATTCAAAAACTTTGATTTTTAATCCCCTTAAAAAAATAGTTGCGTGAGCACTCCCTCTCTCAATGTCTGGCCCACGCGCTCATTTCCCCTCTTTCCCTCTTCTCCTGCAGTCTTCATTACTCTTCATCATTCATCCTACCATCCTTCCGTCTCAGTGTGAACTCACAATCATCTTTTATTGTATTCCTTATGGAACCGCCCATTATGAATGAATGCTAGGATACCAGGATACATACACAGGATATCAGGGTACCAGGATACGATACCAGGATACCAGGATACCAGGATACCAGGAACTCACAATCATCTTTTATTGTATTCCTTATGGAACCGCCCATTATGATTGAATGCTAGGATACCAGAATATATACACAGGATATCAGGGTACCAGGATACCAGGATACATACCAGGATACCAGGATACCAGGATACCAGGATACCAGGATACCAGGATACCAGGATACCAGGATACCAGGATACCAGGATACCAGGATACATACAATGGATATCAGGGTACCAGGATACAATACCAGGATACCAGGATACCAGGATACCAGGAACTCACAATCATCTTTTATTATATTCCTTATGGAACCGCCCATTATGATTGAATGCTAGGATACCAGAATACATACACAGGATATCAGGGTACCAGGATACCAGGATACCAGGATACCAGGATACCAGGATACATACCAGGATACCAGGATACCAGGATACCAGGATACCAGGATACCAGGATACCAGGATACATACCAGGATATCAGGTTACCAGGATACCAGGATACCAGGATACCAGGATACCAGGAACTCTCAATCATCTTTTATTGTATTCCTTATGGAACCACCCATTATGATTGAATGCTAGGATACCAGGATACATACACAGGATATCAGGGTACCAGGATACATACCAGGATACCAGGATACCAGGTTACCACTGTACCAGGATACCAGGATACCAGGATACCAGAATACCAGGATACCAGGATACCAGGATACCAGAATACCAGGATACCAGGATACCAGGATACCAGGATACTAGTTTACCAGGATACCAGGATACCAGGATACCAGGATACCAGGATACCAGGATACCAGGATACTGCAGGATATCTTATACAAGTGTAAATTATCAAATAATTTCTAGAAATATAAAAATATATTTATGTTATCCTCGTTTTCTCTTTTTCTTTTTTTTCTTTCGAATGTTATTTAGATTGACAGACCTCTTATGTATCACTTTTCTTTCGAGCAAAGTCAGCAGAGTGAAAATTTAATAAAGTAAATTTAGAATTTCATTTTAGTATTTTCTTCTTTTTATTTCCGGCATTATTTATTCTTTTTTAGCCTGTATCCTGTATTATTCATCCTTTATGTAACCTGTATCCTGTGTTCTGTATCCTGTATTCTGTATCCTGTGTTCTGTATCCTGTATTCTGTATTATGTACCGGAAATTGACCTCGAAGTATAGGGCTGGTCCTGAGTTTGGTTTTTCCAGCCTGCGAACTTGACAGGAAATTGAGCTCCGGGTACAGCAGGGGATACCAGGGATACTAGGTTCCGGAGTAGGACACTTCTTGCCAGATCTTTACTGTGAGATACAAGCATAAACTTATATTTAAATATCTACCCTGCACCAATAACCCAGATTTTAAAATCGTCCCTTTGAACCCATCATTTTTTCCTTAGACATGGAGGAACTATTTAAAAAAAAATATTGTTTCATTTGTAGATTTTTAAAGTTTTTTATACGACTTTGTATTTACATTGAAAAAGAATTTAACTAGAGGCTAGAAGATTACAAAGGTCAAATAAGATAAATTAAATTCAGCATTCAGACAACTCATGATAAAAACAAAAAACTTTTTTAAAATTACTTTTATGTAGAAAAAAAGATTTCATACATAAAATAATGAATTATCATGATAAAACAAAACTGAATTAGGAATAGTTTGTTAGTAATTATATATATCTGTTCCCGTTAGTGGAGTTGCCACAAACTCTGATTTCTTTGCAACCCAACATCTTTACCTGATATATTTCAAACTGTGAATTCTCAAATTTATAACTAATGTCGTCATTTCTTTGTTAGTTTGCCGCGGAACAGAGCTGAACTAAAAATGTATTATAGAAAGCTGATATCAATTGTATGAAGTGATTTTTCTATAATTAATTTGGATTTTTTAAGATAATATGAACTCAAAGTCGCAGAAAACGGAATTGAGTCTTTATCACAAACTCTAGTTTTCTAATCCCAAATTTTTTCAACATAACGTCGTAGACCTTAGATATTTCAAACTGTGAATTCTGTTAGATCTAAAATTCTAAGTTTGAAATATCAAAGGTATACATCATCAGGTTGCAAAGATATTGGGATTAAAATAGTTGAGTTTGTGGCAAAGACTCAATTCCTGGTATGGGAAACACATTTTAACAGGTTAAATATTAACCGCGTTTTGAACACTGAAGTTACATACTTTGAATATGTACAGTGGTTTCACTTTTATATAACTTTTTGTTATCTCATTTATTCTTTTGGGACGCGTGGGTCCATTTTGTTATTGAATCAATGTTATCTCTTCCTGATAAATGCAACTATTTAAATCAGACAGTTTTAGTTGATTTAGTTCAGTTTTGATACAGCAGGAGAGGGACGGGATGGAACGCTTTGTTGCTCTTTTACTCCTGGTGTCAGGAATACCAGAGGGGTTGGAGGCTCGGAGCTTCAAGAGGTTGACGGAGACAATATCGGTAGAGAATGGAACTTTGACAAGGTTAGCTCCAGGGACCAAACTTAATGAGTTGAACCGTGTAGACGTAGTTCAACCACTTCTCTACAGTGGACCAACCTCGTCTACGCTGTTCAACGTCTCGCTTTCTTTACTATAGGTTTACAGTTTAACAAGATCGGAAATGAGTACTCGCCTCAAACTCTAAATTTACCATCCTTATATCTTTTCAACCTGTTGTCGCTTAGAATGATGAAAATTTCTGAAAACAATAGTCACCTTTCCAATGGTAAAGTTTAAACAGGCAAGATAAAAAACCATCGGATTAAAACTAAATCTTTTTTATTCTTGATAAAATTTATCTTGATTTTTATATTTGTTTAATTAGAGTTACGGGGGGGGGG